AACAAATAAAGATTAACTAATCTTATTAAGATGGAACTTGGTAAAAAAATCGGGTTTAATAACTGAAAAATTAGATTCTGAAAGAATATTCTTTGAATACTAAAATTACGTATTGAATTAGGATTCTTGTATCCATAATTCAAAAAGTTTTTGTGATTATTGCCGAAGAACTGAAATAAAAGATAGGGTAGAGCTATGACAGTTATTGTATGGGGTCTACCCAATGCTAGATGCAAAGGCGCATAATAGATCGATAGAAACATTATGAGCTGTCCCGTAATAAACCCAGTGGTTGCTGATATTTTTTTCTCGGTCCCTTCTTCCACAAGCCGAGCTCGAAGAAGGAAGAGATAAGAGGGCCCTATGGAAAATGTAGTAAGAAATCCATAATAGAGTCCTACCACAACTATCGAATTAATTATCTTCATGCATAAGAATACTAGATTATCCAGTATAAAAGATTGAAAAATCATCTCAAATCTCTCTTTTTCTTTTCTATTGTAATTTCTGAATTATTTTTCTATTACAATTTCTGAATTATTATATAATGATTTTTCAACTTTTCATTTTTTTTTTATATATATATATATATAAATAGATGAGTTAGAAACGGCATCTCTTATCTCAATGACAGCAAAGATAGGTATATTAAATGAATGAAATTAATATATGGATGTAATATAATGAAATAAATTCACTTTGAAGTTCCCTATAAAATGGGGCATGGAAGGGAGCCATGCGAATAAGTTTTATATAAAGATTTTAGGTTAAAGTTTTATTTAAATTTAAAAGTATTCATTCAAAGTTTTTAGTTAGCTTAAAAAATCTAATATCTATCGCCAAAGTAACTATCACGACCAAGTACAACCACCAAAACTAATTAAAGTCAAGTCAATATCCTATTGCAATAATATATATAGTATGATGTTTCCCAGTAATTGAGCACATGATGATGAGAGCATGGTACACATCAATATATTGATGTGCAAGTAACAATAGATTAGTAACAAATTTGAATGTCCAAAATTCAGATGGATGAGGATAGTGCAATGTATATATATATGTCGCGTGGTTGGACCAAACCATTACAAACCCAGAACATCTTGATGATCATAAACTATTAAGTTTCATATCAAAGTTCTCTCTTTCCGAGGAACATATTCTTCTTGGTGCATTTTGCAAATGGGGTTTCTAGAATGCTTCACTGCTTGTAGCAAACCAGCAAAGGAGAAACTTGTGCCCAAGAAGGTTTAATTTTCTTCATTTTCTATTTATGTTTAACCCTTTTGATCACTTTTTCTATATACCTAATCATGAAATCGATTTTGTTTGTGTATAATATAGACAGTTCATCTCAGGGTGAAATGTGATTGTAAAGGTTGTGTAAGAAAGGTTACAGATGCTGTGGAGGGCTTGGAAGGTTCATCATATAAAACTCTTCATTATTTCTTTCAATTGACTACCATGTTGGTTGATTTTTATGGTATTTAAGAAAGAAACCATGTTCTCTCCATTATCCCTTAACGAACAAATCAAACATTTTGCAATATATCACTATACCATATATTTGATACCCAATATTTTATACACCTGCAGTTAAAAGCCACTTTGTTATATAAGTTATATTATTTATAAAATACCTTTTTCAACATTTTTCTTCAATATTATTTTTCTTCATCACATTAGTCATTTTGTGGTCATACACTTGTCTCTTCTCTTGCATATTTTTCTTTATTGTATATTTTGGTATATAAAATATAATTTCGCATTATATTCATGTTTAGTCCAAATTGCATATTACCCAAAAGTATGGAATATTAGTTTCATTGCTTTTCCTCTTCAAAAAAGAATATGGTAATAACCATTAAGCAATCGATTCTAATTCAATCAAACTATAGACTTTTTGTCTACTAGAACTTAATTTAACTGTTACTATATAATTAAATGATACTTAACTATTGGAACCCTATAAATGTCCAGTCAAAATACATTAATAACTTACAACATTCACCACTAATAGAAGCAGATGCAATACTATATACTAGTAATTAATATAAGGTCAAACCTGTTTCGTCACGAAAATATCTTAACCAATATATATACTAATTAGGTGGAGGTTGTAGGTAATTTCTTGAGATCTTTCCCATATATCTACAATTAATTTGTTTTGTATTTAATAGTCAAACAAGCTATCGATCATTTTCTATGCAACTTCCTGTCCATCCTGGCCTGAGTTTTAAGTGATGAAAATATAACTATTTTATTGAAATAATCATGTTTAACCAAAATAAATAAAATATGCAAGAAGGACAAAACAATTAAAGTCAACTTTAGGAAAATATTTTTAATTAAATTATTTACTTTTGAATAATTATTTTAAAAAATATCTTTTTTTTAATTTATTGACAATATAAAAATCTTAGTATTATTAAAATTAAACTGTGGGCACCAATAGTAATACTCTAATTTATGTAAACTTAAAATAACAAGGAGAAAGTTGTGTTGTTTTAAATATGCCTCAGATATTATTTAATTTCAAAGGGGTTGTCTAACTTCAATTAAAAATGGGGTTAAACAAGTTTACGGAAGATGATTAGTGCAATTAATTATATACTTTAAGATTGTTGGTACATTTTTTTTAATTGCATCAATTTTCTTGTATGAAATTGTTTAATCTTAGTTTTTTATTTGGGATAAATTAGATAACTCTAATTTCAAAAACTATATATGACCAAACTATTGTTGTAGCTATAAACAAAGTTGAGATGGTCAAATTATTTTTGAGAATTTAATTAGAATATATTAACGGCGTAGTAAATATAATTTTATACTCATTTTAATCTTGAAATGTTACACATTAAATTCCACCCTTAGGTCATGAAATGCTATAATACTAATAATTTATGAAACTTAAACTTTTTATTTAGTTTCTTATCTGATGAGACGAAATAATGAAATGTTTCAGGGGTGGAATCATTTGATGTGAACCAAAAGCAACAGAGGGTAACTGTGACTGGTTATGTGGATTCAGAGGAGGTTCTGGAACAAGTGAGGAACACAGGAAAAACAGCAAACATTTGGCCATTTGTACCCTACAATTTAGTGACATTTCCTTATGTGAAAGGGGCATATGATATTAAGGCACCATCTGGTTTTGTCAGAAGTGTCCCTGATGCAATGGGTGACCCTAAGTCTCCAGAGATGAAGCTTATGAGGCTCTTTGATGATGATAACCCAGATGCGTGTTCAATCATGTAAAGCAAATGTTGTGTTCATATGTTTTTTTTTCTTTTTTTTTTTCTCTTTTTCCTTCCCTTATGTTCAAAGATTATGTTTAGATCAGTGGTAGAGAATGAAATGAATGATAGATCATAATGTAACGAGATGAGATAAATAATTAGAATCGAAAAAAATGAAAATGTTATTATGTTGTCTTTGAATGTTTTATAATGGAATGAGAATTCAATTGTTTGAATGTTTTGTAATGTAATAGAATAAAAAATTCGTTCGATTGTTTGAAAAAAAAATACCCAAAAGAAATTAGTTATAATAATTATTTATTTTTTTTACTTTAATTTAATAACTCTCTCGATTCAAGATAATGCCTTTTTTGCTTTAAGTGGCAAGTTTTAATAAATATTTTGAGAAAAAATTAAATATTTCTTTGTTATTTAATAATGGATTTGTTAATTTATTCCTGTTTATTTTTAGAATAAATATTTCAATTAATTGTACTTTCATTTTCTTCAAATATAAAAATATTTTTAAAAATAAATACATAATATTTAAAGATTTTTCTTTAAAAATATATGTATTTATTCACAAGTTCTTGTAAAGAAATAAAATTGTCACGAACTTGTTTCTTTTTTAAAAAAATATTTTTAATATATTGTAATTTTTTTTCTTAAAAGATAAGTAAATATACATTAACTAGGTAATAACATAAAAATATTGTTTGATGCCGCCATTTTAATTTGATAATTCCATGTATGATTTAGAAAAGGATACATTGATAAATTTGAAATTTACACATACTTTTCTAAATTGATCCTAAAACAATCTAGTAGCCAGCAAATAAATAAAACAAAATATCCATCCTTTGGTTGACTCACAACCAAGATCCACTCACCTATTACAGCATCATCTACTCCTAATCTGTTTGCATAACAAAATATGGTCATAGTAGTTCCAATCACAAGGGAAAAATATCCAGGATGAGCTCACAACAATAAACATCATAAAGTAATATTCAACATATAATGACACTACTACAAGATGCATATTTTACATCGGTTCTCTAAAGAAATGATTTTGGCCAAGTGATTTGTAAAGATAATTTTTCACAATTGAGTTCGTTTTTCTTTTCTCTAAAAAATTATAGGTATTTATAGACAATTGTATCTTGAGTTATGTCTTTTCATGAAGAGTTGTAACTCTCTATAATTTTTCAGAAAATAGGCTCTGGTCATCGATTACAAGACGTGTAATCGATTACAACGGTTTAAGTTCAAAATGTTTGAAACGTTGTATAATTCAAATTCGGATTTTTGAAAATTTCTCTTCTGGTAATCGATTACAATCACTGGTAATCGATTACCAGAGAGCATTTTAACATTTTGAAAGGTTTTCTTTCTCTGGTAATCGATTACAGCAAGTGGTAATCGATTACCAGAAACATGTCACTTGTTTTGGCTTATGAAAACTTAAGATATAAAGAGCTTCTATTTTTCAGTTAAAAATATTTTTGTTTAATCTTTTGAATACTTTTTTTGCTTTCTTTTCAAACAACTTATTCTTATATTCAAAAGTATTAAGTTTAGGTTTTCTTGAAATTCTTATTTTAATGGCCAAGTGAAATTTGCAAATTCTAAAAGTTCATTTTACATACTAAGCTAAGCAGTCAAGACTTATCTAGTTATTACTTGAGATCTTGCTTCTTGATCAGCTTGCTTTAACTTGACCTTTATTTTCTTCAATGCTTTGGCATCATCAAAACTTTGTGCATATTTTCTTCCACATTCTCCCCCTTTTTGATGATGACAATTCACTGTAAAGGGAAAGAAAATAAAACAATATATTTCGATCACTCCCCCTTAAACTCCCCCTTAGTAAAGCATTGATTGAAGTTCCTTTTATTTTATAAAAGGAGTTGTACTTATGTTTTGAAAAAGATTATAGAGATCAATGTTTATATTTTTAAAACATAAGTGTCAAGTTGGGCATCAAGAATATTTTTGTCAAAATATTTTAGACAAACTTAGCCCACAGTAATGTTAGAAAGAAAATAAACATTTTCTTTTCCTTTGCAGTCTTATCTCTCCCCCTTTGGCAACATCAAAAAGTCAAGTAGAGGATTAAGATAAGTGTTGTATTTTTCCTTTTGTGATCCTTATCCTTACTCTCCCCCTTTGGCAACATCAAAAAGAATATAATAACAAAATAATCCAAAGGTAAAGATCAAGCCAAATTGAAGTCCAAGGAAAAATTTAACTCGCCCATCATGGACATTTCAAAGTCACTT